GGTGTGATTGTGATGGTGGTTGTAGTGGTGGCTGTAGTGGTAGTGGAAGTGGTGGTGCTGTCATGGTTGTGGTAAATGTGATGATAATAGTGAGTTTATAATAATATATATCAATATTTATAATTAATATTTATAAATTCAATCATAATTAAATAAGTTTCATATGATTTAAATTTTTTAAAATTTTTAGTGTACATTTTAAGAGAAACTTAAATTTATAAGTGATATCAATTATAGTTATCAAATGAGTTTAATTGATTATCAGTTAATAAATTTAGTTCTAAGTACTAAATCAGGTAATCAAACACCTCATAAGATAATGCTTAGATTCTATGTTATGTCTAACTAAACTCTAATTACTTACTCCAATTATTGTCCATTCTTACGCGAAAGTTACAAGAAAAATTATACTTTTATGCAATATGATTTAATATATAATTGAGCGAACATTGACCTAGTTAAACCTAAAATTGAAAAACTTATAGAGCATAATGTATTTTTATTTAATCATAAATGTAATTTTTTGTAATTTACTTTTTTTTTTCCTTTCATTTCTATCGATTAAACTATGACATTAATTTCTTATTAAAAATTAGAACATACAATTAATGCCATAAATAAATAAATAAAAATCTTCAATAAAAATAATTAAAATTTAATTAATTCTGAATTATTTTTTTTATACATGCTAAATAAATTTTATGTTATTTTTTTAATTATAAAATTAAATTTTAATTATTTATTTAAAGGGAATTGACCAGTAAATCCTGTTTTGTAGACTTGTAATCCATGAGGTCCTAAATATTTATTTGGTGACTGAGTGGTCCCTTAAATTATTTGTTGATTGTTTTGTCATTGTTAGTATAGTTGGGGGACAGATGGCGTGGTCATATATAAGGAAGGTGGTGGGGTGTTTATGTATCACATAATTCAAAAAGTGCACCAGTAGCTTTTTGAAGTTTTGGTTGTTTTTAACACGCGCAGTGTGGAACGTGAATTCCTTACTTATTGTTTTTTGCCACGTGATGTGAAGATACGTAATAATTCAATCAAATTAGATCTGCCACGTTGGAGTGTTACATGTCATGTTTAGGAAAAGTACACTAAATAGTTTTTATGTATGGGGAAGGTGGTGGGTGTTTGTGTGTCACGTTGTTCGAAAAGTGCACTAACAGCTTTTTAAGGTTTGGTTGTTTTTAACACAGTGTGAGACGTGAATTCTTTACTAATTATTTTTTGGCGTGTGACATGAAGACGCGCAGTAATTCAATCAAATTGGGTCCACTACGTTGGAGTGTCACATGTCACGTTTAGGAAAAGTATACTAAGAAGTTTTTAATTTTTTTAGAGTGTCACAACATACTGACCACGTTGTCACATTTGAATAAAGTATACTGAGAAGTTTTTTTTTTTTTTGAATGTCACATCATATCTACTACGTTGTCACATTTGAAAAAAGTACACTAAGGATGAGTAAAAATTTTAAAGTGTCCCATCATACCTGTCACGTTGTCCCATCGTTGGAGTGTTATATTAATACCCGCCACATTAGAGTATCATACCATTTCTGTCACACATTCCAAAAAAAAATTCAAATTAACTAATGAGGGTATATTTGTCTAACCAATACCCCTCCACGTTTGAAAAAAGACTTACTGGTCACACACTACACCTAATAAGAACTCCTAAATCAACTATTTAGACCGTAGGATCAAATGGTACAGAAATTTCCAAAATAAGACTTTCCAATAAATTTTCCTTTATTTAAACCGTGCGTAGCGCGGTACACCGACCATTTGACAAACTGTATTAAATTTGAGAGAGAGGTTGCTGTTGTGCAATTTAAGGTTTATTATGGATTTATTTTTATGATCTGAACTATTTATTTTATAGGATTCGTTAAGTATTTCATACTTTCCAAATATTATATTCATTGAATTTTGATAAGTATGAAGTGCTTAACAAACCTTACAATATATTAATTCAATCACAATCACACATTTATATTATAAGTAAGATTTTGACAATTTTATGGTAACTAGTTTTACTTTTTTTTCATGTTTCATTTTTTAATTATAATTTTTTCACACAAATCCGCACGACATACACATAAATCTTAGGATGCGAAATGGACCCAATTTTCTAAGGAGAAAGACTTAGACCCGCCAGTAGGGGCGACTCTTACCACCCCCATTGTTTTTTGATTGGCTCAATTTATTTATTTGTTTATTATTATTATTATTTTTTTGGTCTGGCTCTCACAGCCCCTCACGTAGAGATGGGGTGCTGAGGGTCACCCCCACTGAGGTCCCCAGCACTGTTGATTTTCTAAGATGTTGGACACATCAAAAAAAAATTTTTTTTCCCACTTGTATTTATAAAAATTTATAACTGCACACAATTTCTAGAGTAGTGCTGTTTATTCCTAAATTTTTTTACATGCTTTCTAAATTTAATAATGTAAAACTCTATTAAGATATGAATAAATTATATTTTATCCTCTTTATATTTAATCACTTCAACTTTGACCTTTAAATTTTATTTTTTTTTCATTTTAATTCTTTATGTTTTAAAGTTTTTCCAATTTATTTCTAAAGTTAATTTGTGTTCAAAATTAAACAAAAAATACCATAATAACTATCGCATAGTATTAAAAATATATATTTATATTAGAAGACATCAAATATTTTCATGATGTCTAAGGTCCCTCAACATCAATCCAGAGAAAATTGGTCCAGAGAAAATTCAACTCAGAGAAAATTAGTCCAGAGAAAATTGGTACAGAGAAATTCTGGGAAGAATTTCTCTGGACTTTCCAGAGAAATTTTGAAAATTTCTCTGGACTTGCCTAAACTTCCCACTGTAAATTTCTCTGCCCCTTTTTTTTTTAACATAAGAATTTCCCTACCTCAACTCACTTCCTTGCTATATACTACACCTGAGATGGTCTACAAGACAGCTAGAGCCATGGGGCTGCATTCCAACATCAATGTGCTTTACAATCTAAGCTGGTTTTTCCCCATTGATTCTTCAAGTTGAGGATTTTCTGTCCTTATCTGTAGAGAAGTAAGTGTTAGTAACAATGTAAACATGAATTCAGAAGTTTTAAGCTTGTTAATTAGATAGATAAAGTATTACCTTTGAAGCGGAAAGTAGATTTAATTGGTAGCATTCTAACACAAAGTGTAAGATTAATGTAAGCTTTACCTTTTCAATGATGTCGAGATAATATTTACACTCAAGCGCATAATTAATTGTGAAAACTTTTGCTACAGTGAATTATGAGTTTGGCTTTTGGATATTGGATTCTGTCAATTTTATTTGGAAGACAAATGTTTGTCCAATCATTTGCTCTACAACTTTTATAGTCAATTCATCTTCATCATCCTGTGAAGTTTGTTGGACAAAGCTAATTAGTAATAAGTAAAAAGGTAACCTTAATCAATATTAAAGTTGCATCACAAGTTAGAACTGAAATTTCTCTGCTTTGAACTGAAATTTCTCTGGGTTGGTCCAGAGAAATTCTCTGCTTTGAACTGAAATTTCTCTGGGTTGGTCCAGAGAAATTCTCTGGTTTGAACTGAAATTTCTCTAGGTTGGTCCAGAGAAATTCTCTGGTTTTAGCTTAGCTTTAACATGATCTGGATCAGCAGTTAGTTGGTCAATTTTGTTTATGACTGGGATTATTGTCAGGTTAGATTCAAAAGCAAGATAAAAGTTATCAACAATTCACTCCATTGAGTGAATAAACAACAATAGCAACATATATATATATATATATATATGTACATTAAAAGCTGGCCCCAAGCTCCAATGCAAAACCACACCAAGAGGACTTCGGGGTTCGAACCCATCTTCTCCAAGCTCTCCTAGTGAAATTTTGGATTCAATTTTTCTTTGAGCAAATCCAAGGCTTCATTCGCATTTTTCGATGCAGAGACTCAGTTAAGCAAGTCATCATCATTATTGAACAATTCGGAAACAAAAGGAGGGCTCGGCGTAGAGGTCGAAGATGGCGCGGGAGGAGCGGAGGAAGCTGAATTTGGACTCGAACTAGATGAGCTTCCATGCGACGCGAGATCTGTAGTTGTGTTCTTGTGCTAGGTTGTTGTACTTGTCCAAACGATGTTTGCCCTTGACTTTGCCTATCTCTTCTCTCTAAGGTTTCAGAGAAAGAGAGAGCGGAAGTGCTACTTTGCAGTAGAGGAGGAGAGACAAAGAGTCAAATTTCTCTGATATATGTTTAGGGACCTTAGACATCAAAAAATAATTTTGTGGATCTCTTCCATTACGAAAAGTGGGAGAGGGACCCTAGACCAATTTTCCCTTATTTCTAAAGTTAATTTGTGTTTAAAATTAAACAAAAAATACCATAATAACTATCGCATAGTATTAAAAATATATATTTATATTAGAATTAAGTTTATATTAGAAATGTGAATTATATATAATAAAATATTTTTATATCACGTAACTGCTAATGTGTCATTTTCTGTTTAATTTTTAATAGAAATTAACATTAGGAGCAAATTCGGAAAAACTTGAAATATGTAAGTGCCAAAATAAAAATAAAAAATAAAAAAATAAAAGGTCAAACTGAGAAAGTGAGAAAGTGACCAAATATGAAGGGGCAAAGTGTAATGTGTCATTCTCTCTCTCTCATTTATTCTTCAATCATCAATCAATCATTTTATGTATATATTATTGAGTTTAAAAAGTAAATTTAGAAAGTCAATTTTTAAATTATGTATAGTTAAAATAATGCTTTATTTATGTAGAGGAAATTATAATTAAGGGGAATTTTCAAAAAAAAAATTATATAATCATGAAAAAATTTATAATTTTAATTATTAATATTTACAAATTTTATCACTAATTTATATAAAAAAAAAAAAATCTTTGTAAACACCACTTATATGATATTTTCCCATTTATTTGTCCCCAATCTTTTCCATATATATAGATTCTCTCTCTATCCCTCTCAAAATATACCATTTTCTCCATATCCTGCATAGTTTAAATCTCCTCCTTTTTCTCTTGCTCTCTCTTACTCCAAGCCCATAGAAAAACACTATGGTGGTGGCCACTCCAACCCCAATTAGAAGTGAAAAGATCAGAGAAGTTGAGCTTCCAATCATAGACCTCTCAGCAGAGAGATCAGAGGTGTCAAAGCTCATTGTAAAAGCTTGTGAAGAGCTTGGTTTTTTCAAGGTCATCAACCATGGTGTCCCTGAGGATGTTATTGCAAGGATGGAAGAAGAAAGCTTCCTGTTCTTCTCCAAATCAGGCTCCGAAAAACAACGGGCCGGGCCAGCTAATCCCTATGGTTACGGAAGTAAGAACATAGGCTTCAATGGTGATACCGGAGAGGTTGAATATCTTATTCTCAACACCAACTTTCTCTCCATTTCTCAAAGATCCAAAGCTATCTCCAATGACCCAATTAAATTCAGGTACTAGCATTATTCATATATATTTATATATAGCTATGTGTCTGCATGAAAAGTCCAGACCCTATTAAGCAATACAAATCGAGAATCGAATGTTGCGGACGTGAATTTTTCAAAATGATGAGTCGCAAAAAAAATTTATAATAGCCGAACCAACTCTATCGGCTTTCAACCAATTGTATTGATTGTGAATCAAATCTAAAACTAATTGATACGCATGTAATTTTTATTCTAACTTGTATAATAAAAAGTGAAGCCCAATACATATCGACCGATATGTTGCTTATCAACTGAAGATGAAGGCTTGTATATAGTCTTGTTCTGGATTTTCATCTATGTTCAGTGGATAGCTCATGTTACCGCACAAGGTGACTTGTTAATAAATATAAAAGTAATTGAAGTCATCATAAGAGTAATGCTACGCAAAAGCTAATCCAAGGCTGATTGTACAATATACAATAAAATACTATAGTGTTTGCAGTGTTTTATTGTATGTTGTACAATCATTCTTGGATTAATTTCATGAAACTTTTTATGATATTACTCATAATAAATATAACAGTAATTGAAGCCATCACTCCCAAATGGTACTCTACTATTTTATTGATCCCTTCTTTTATTTTTGTGCCCTTAATCTTCATGTTGTATTTCAAATAAACTTCCAATACTCATATTCATTACTAATATATCAATTAATATATGATCCTCTCATGAATACAGATGCATAGTCCGATACTATAATTTAAAATCATGATCTTGATTTTCTTGGTACAATTCCAATTCTTACGTTATGTTTGGTTGGGAGATTTTGGAAGAAAATTAGAAAAGAAAAGGAAAAGGAAAAAAAAAATGAAAGTAAAATGAGAATAAAACATACTTATATTTCGCTTAGTTTCACATACTTTTTTCTTTTTCTTTTTTAAATCTCTCTCCAAATCCCTTACCAAACACAGGCTTAGACTACATCACATAACAAGAGAATCCAGTGGATCCTCATGCCTCTTGGATGAGTGATTTGCTATTCTCTCTCTCTCTCTCTCAACTGGAAAATGGTAGTACTAAATATATATATATATATATATATAGAGAGAGAGAGAGAGAGGGAGAGAGAGAGAGATGTACCTAGTTCTTGCATGTATCGTGCCAGCTGTAGGAGATCCCTTTTCCTGTCTCGACCATGTTGGAAAATTTGTAGGATTTTACGGCATGGTAATGTTTCATTGCCAAAGAAATCAATTCAAACTGAAATATATGCCATGCATAAATATTTATGTATATAACTTTTTTTAATATATAAAAGTGAACCCATTGATTTGTTTTCATCAATATAAAAAAATAAAAATAAAAAATTAATAGAAATTAGGGGGTAATTTGTTATGAAATATAAACCTCAGGGGGCAAATTGTTATGAAAATACAAACCTTAGGGGGCGGGATGTAATTTCTGAAACCTCAGGGGGGTATCTGTAATTTATCCAAACCTCGAGGGGTGTATATGTAATTTGCCCAAAAAAACAATGTCTAGTACCATAAGAAAAAAAAATTTGGATTTGTTGAAGTTGAAGTTGAAAATCTTATAATTATTGAATTAATTTGTACTCATGTTAATGATTTGAATTATTCATCCCATGTAATAAGTTGTGAAGTACATGTATGTAAAAAATTAGATTGATCAAACATAAGTGATTACATGATCCAATCACATATATATATATATATATATATTATAATACATAGATGGTCTATTTTTAAAAATATTTAAATCCTACAAATAAAAACGATTTGAAAGTATGTTAATCAATGTTGGATTAACTTATGTTTTTCCTGAATGATTTTCTTAATTAGTTATATGAAATAAAAAGTTTAGATCACTAAAATAAGTCCAAGTTTCGATGATGAGTCAACTTCACCATAAAGATGAGATATACAACTTTATCAAATTTGGACTTATTCAAAATATTTTATGTACCTTAAAAAAATTATAAAATAAAATAAAATCAATAGAATTCTACACACACTTGTCTAGATGGACCATTGAAAACAGTAAATTGAGTCACATGGGCCGTATAATTAACCAACAAGGTTGGTTTGTTTTGGTAGAAGATGATGTTGCACAACAGGTCATAGACACAGGTTGGAAATCCTCTACTCCATGAAAGTTGTATGTCTCATTGCTCTCATCACACCTACATATGATTTTAATTTAATTTAATTTAATTTGAATTCAAAATCATATTTTGTGATGATAAATAAATAAGATAAAATGATTATGCACGTGGGACAGTGAATATATAAAATAACATGATATGTACATTTTTTTTGAGATAGATTATCAGGTCATACTGTCATTTTTATTGAAAGGAGTAATGTTATGGACTTAGAGCTCGTGTATGAAAAAAATATTTAAAAAGACAATTGTTGTTCGCGTTTATCATATGTAGGGGCAATTATACCACCCCAAAAAAAAAAAAAAAAAAAAAAAAAAAAAAACACCTCAGGATTTAAGCTTTCTAACAAAATAATTCTTAAATTTTTAATTTTGTCAATTTAAACATTAATCTTTTAATTTATTTTTAATATAAACTATTTGCCTATTTTTGTTTAGTAAAACTGAAGAAAAAAGTATTTTAGTTATTAAACTCAACATAAATATATATAAAATGTCTAAAATATCATTTTTTTGTTAAGTTTAATGACGAAAATACCCATTGTCTCATCGATTTTACTTAATGAAAATAGACAAATGGTTTAGATTGAAAATAAATCAAAAGTTTAAAATTTAAATTGATAAAATTAAAAATTAATCTTATTAAAAGAGTCAAGCCTTAGGGGTTTTTTATATTTTATATTTTATATTTTTATTTTTATAATTCCCCCTTATATGTATGGATGTCACTACATAAACTGAATGTAAATTACATAAAATTTTTAATTAAATTTCTATGTATACCATTATTGAAATAAGGAATTATTAATTGTTCTTAGGGCATTGCCCTGTGTGGCTGTGCCGCATGGGCCATAAATTTATACGAGCCCGCATGAATACTTCATAGGCTCAAATGAATTTATGGCTAAGCTTATTTAGAAATTGATTATTTTAGTTAATTTTTTATAAAAGATATTTTTTAAAAATGTAAAAGTGATGTAATAATTTATAATAACTTTGTAATATCTTATTTCGTTTGATATATAAAATTAGTAGGTAACGGCACATATTTTAAATTTATGTTTATTAAGATCAATCTAAAAGTCCCTATGTGAGATTGATTATCAATTATTAAAAAAAAATAAAATCACCAATCCACAAAAAAGTAAATTAAAAAAAAAAAATCAGTGTTGGGAAGGCAGTTAGAAATGTGGGTTTTTGTTTGGGAAAAAACAATTTAATGTAAATTTAGAAAATAAATTACTCATCAATAATAAATTTTATAAGCATTAACAATTAAAAATTTTAACTCTTTCATGTATCTATAAAACAAATTACAAAGATGGAGATCAAAAATTTTGTTTTAAAAAAATAATAAATATTAATAATTAAAATTATAAATTTTCTCATCAAATAATGGAGTAATTTTTTATTTTTTTTCTTCCTGTTACACTGATTTGTCCATGTTTTGTTGTGATGACAGTTGTGCAGTGAGGGATTACGTGGAAGCGGTTAGAATTGTGGCATGTGAGATATTGGAGCTGATGGCAGAGGGATTGTGGGTCCCAGACACATCAGTGTTTAGTAAGCTAATCAGGGACGTTGATGAGGACGACTCGCTTTTCAGGCTCAATCACTATCCTCCTCTCCTCCTCACGGACAGCTTTCAAGATAGTGACACGTCACCCTCCTCATTTCATCATCACCTTCATAATCATAAGATTGGATTTGGAGAACATTCTGACCCTCAGATCTTGACCATCTTAAGATCCAACGATGTCAGTGGGCTCCAAATCTCTCCACAACAAGGTCTGTGGTTCCCAGTTTCTCCTTACCCCACTACTGCCTTCTGTGTTAATGTGGGTGATTTGTTGCAGGTCAGAATACCCCTCTCTCTACTTCAAAATAAATTTTTAATTTTATCTGTTTAAATTTTAATTTTTGTATTTGCTTCTTATTTTAATTTTTTATTAAATAAAATCTTCAAAAAAATATATTTTAATCAGAAAAATTAATAAATAAATAAATAAAGTATTTTAGATATTTTTTGTACACTTACAATTCAGTTTAATAATTAAAAAAAATTATCAAATTTATTTAACAAAAATATGTGAATTATTTAAATTAGAAATAAACTAAACAATTATGACTTAAATTATTTTATTATCAAATTCAATCTTTTGAATATTTTTTTTTTAAAATAAGAAAAGAAATTGTGTAACTGAAATGAAATGATATGAATTTGAAGTCCGGAATCACCACAAAACTGTAGAGAGGGAGAACTGAAAAGCACTTTTAGATGGGACCTATATATGTGAGTCCCATCCATCCAATGAGTTTTATGTTTAGATTGATAGCTGTGTCCAGCATGGAGTATCGAGAAACACTCATCTGCTTTTTCTGTTTTATTTATTAAAGAGTAGTGATTGGGAGTTCTTTAAACTCAATTTTAATGACCTGAAAAATTTAAAAAAAAAAATTAAATATCTTATCAAAGTAAGATCATCTCCATTAAAGTTTCCTAAAACACTTTTACTAGGATTTTCAATCATTTTTAAAAATTAAAATCATATTGCTCTACATGGGCTGAAAATATAAAAAAAGGTTTGATTTCTATTAGGTGGCCTATCTCAATTTGACATACTGTTTGGGTTCAATAGTTTTATTTTGAAATTGATTTTGAGATTTAAATTTTTTATATTTTAAGAGTCGTTGAGTAGAAGATTTATATAAAAAATAGTAATAATTGAATATCGATAGTTACATGTTTTAATTAAATTTTTATTACAAAAAATAGATAGGTATTTTTGAAATTATTCAAACATATGACTATTTATGTTCAATCATCTTAATTTTTTATATAAATATTTTGCCTAATGAATTTTAAAAAGTGAACGATTAGATCACCGAAATTGATCCCATATTGGTCCTACCACCAAACTCAAACGACTATCTAAAATTGAGATGAGTAATTTGAGATAAATCAAACTTTAAAAAAATATTTTAAAATTAATTTAAAAAATTTACTATTTAACGATTTATATATCGTATTAATAGGATAAAAATAATTTTAAATCTAATTATTATGTGAGTTAGACTTACATAAATCTTTATAAATCTAGATAACAAATTATATTATATACTTACATAAATCTATATAGTTATGCAATATCAACCTTTATTTTTTTTAGAAAAAATTATGCAAATAGTCCTTGTAATTTACACGATGTGTCAATTTGGTCCTTATAGTTTCAATATGCTCGATTTTGCCTCTTAATTTAACGGATTGTGTCATTATAGTTCAATAAATAACAGTTGTTAAGTTAATTTAACGAAAAGTCAAACAATGAGTCAATTTGGTCCCTGTATTTTTCACAATTTGTCAATTTTGTCCCTGTTAAAATCGAGAAAATTTGAAACTACAAGAACCAAGTTGACATATAGTGTAAAGTATAAGGACCAAATTGACACATTATTTGATATTCCATTAAATTAACTTAACAACCGTTATTTATTAGACTAAAATGACACAATCTATTAAATTAAGGGACAAAATCGAGCAAATTGAAACTACAGAGATCAAATTGACACATCGTGTAAACTACAGGGAGTTATTTGTATAATTTACCCTTTTTTTAATAAATATAAATTATGTATTATTAGTTTTGTGAAAGATTTTAATAAATATAATTTTGTACATTAGATTTTTTTGCTTAAATCAAAATAGAAAGATTTTTTTGAAGGAAAATTCAACTCCTAATCTCAAATAAGTTAAAGATGCACCCACACAATTAAAATAACATACATATTTATATATATTTGTTAGAATGTGACAAACATATTTTTATCATGCAATATGCGGGCTATATGTGCGGATTTGGAATTTTTTTATTTTGTTTTTGACAAGCTTGAAAATATAAATGTATGCATGATTTTGTGTCGAGCCAAACTTCAAAAAATATTTCATATGCTTTATGTAGTTTGAACTCAATTTGGTTCGTGTACCCGCCTTTAATTCTAACATTGTATCCTTAATTATCAATGTGAATTTCTACATCATTGTTTCAGGCCATGACAAATGGGAGGTTTGTGAGTGTGAAACATAGAGCCCTAGCCAGCTCGTACAAGTCAAGAATGTCAATGGCCTATTTTGGTGCACCAAAACTCCATGCAAGGATCACCACGCCGCCAGAGTTGGTCACCCAGTTCAGACCATGTCTCTATAGACCCTTCACATGGGCCGAGTACAAGGAGACTACATATTCTCTCCGGCTCAGCGATAGTCGTCTCAACCTTTTCAAAGTGCAAGAGGGTGATGAAATTGTCTGATAAAATGAGAATATGTAGCACCAAATTAGTTTGAAAGTGGCCAAAGAACATCTGTCTCCAAAATTCTCGTCTTTTTTATTCTATTCAATGCACCTACAATTGCACAATAAGATGAGAATTTTAAAATGTAAGAATATTATAGCACGATTTTGCAGTTAAGAACGTGTTGAGATAGAGAGAGGAATTTTATTAAGTACCTATGATCACGTGCCCTTAAAAGATAAATATTAGGGTTGTTTTTGTCACCCCAAGAGGGGAATTTTGCTATTTGAAGAAATTAAAGTTCCATGGTTTTTGCTAGAGTAATTTAATCATTGATGCAAAATTTTGTAGCTCTCCATGACAATTTTAAAAACAGGTATATGGGTACAATGTTGAATGCCGTAATAGACATAATTAAAGCCAAACCTAATACCAATTAATTTTCGAAGAGATATGGTGAAACTCTATTCGACACAAATTCTTTCTCTCCAATTGTTTTGCTTGTGTTGGTATATTTCAGTATTAAAATTAATTAATATCATCTACAATTAGCTTGTCTTTCATATTGTCTTCAATGAATGAATTGCACAAATAGCTTGCATCTCAGGTTTTTGGTCGACAAGACCAAGTTGCAAGTTCTTGAATTAGATGAACCCATAAGTTAAATCCATTCCACCGTTTGAAACAGACAATAAAAGTATGGTGAGGTATGGATCAAGTGGCTTTTTTCATTTTACAACTCATTTTGAAAATTAAAAAGAAGAATATCGTACAATGTAGGGTTAGGACACCATTACTGATATCAAGGGCATCTGTTTCGCGCAATAATAGCACCACATGGGCCAAGTACAAGAAAGCGACAAATTCTTTACTACGTAAGCCTACTTGTTTGGACCAATTTTGTAGTACCAAGCTTGCTTGAAAGAAATAAGATTAAAAAAGAAAATGTTTGTTTCCTTATTCTTCTCAATTTATGGTGGACAAAACCGAGATCTTGAATGAAATTAAATATCAATTACGGTTGTGCAGAAAACTCATCCATGCTTCTCGATTTATGCCCACCAACTTTGTCACCAAATCCCCAATCGATCTGGTTAAAGTATGTTTCAAGTGACACCTTTCATTGTACAATGCATTTTGAAACTTAAAACGAACATTATTGCATAATGTAGGACTAGAACACAGCTACTGATATCAACAGTTCCGTTACTTGTAACGAACACCACCACGTGGGACGAGTACAAGAAAGCAACATCTTCTTTACAGCTTAGGTACAGCTCGCTTGAAAGATAAAAGGTTAAATGTGTTCATTTTTATTTTATTTTTTATTTTTCTCATTTTATGGTGGACAAGCCGAGCTCTTGAACGAGGTTAAATCATTCAGCGATGTGCAAAAACACCCGCCCAAATTGCTTCACCGGGGCCTACCAACAACATGTTGCTTTGGTGTCATTTTTTTGGAAAGCAAGTATTACTTGCATTCATGCATACATATCTGTAGGTGTGGTAATTATTGACACGATATGATAACAAGACTTGAATTGTGCATGAAATTAGAGGGTTAGAATTGAGCATTTTTTGTCACGAAGTTGTATATGATATGACTTCTGAACTAGTATAATAAATAGGTCGTGTTCGAGTTGAACTTGTGAAACTCAAAATTGACACGTCTAACTCGTTCATCTCGAGGTGTAATCCGTTAACATGGATACGACCCATGACTAGAAAATGACTTGTTTACGACTCATGAACTACATATACACATTTTATAATTATAAATATAATTTGATCAAACGTCATCACAGCCATTCATGTAATTTGAAAACTAATCTCAAACATTCATTTACTAATATATAAAAAGATGAAGTTGTTTTATTATTATTATTATTATTAGTTAACCCTAACGGGTCGACCTGACGGTAAGGTCTTGGGTTTTGAGGTTGTGCTCTTTTTAAGGTGTAGGATCAAAACCTCTTAAGTGCTAACAATTCGTTAGATCCATTGGATTTAAAAAAAATTTTAAATTAACCGTGATGTACTTGCAGGAAACTAATAACCGAGGGGTTTGTGCATCCTAGGAATTAATCGGGTTTGATCAAGACACTTTGATGCCAATAAAAAAAAAAAAAGTTACTATTATTAGTTTTCATATTATTGTTGGATGGTGATTGTATAAATAAAATTTTGAACAAAAATTTATTTGGATAAAGGTTTTTCATATTTGGTTAATCGTGTACGACATGTTATTAAACAGGCCGATTTCGTGTTCGTTTTTTTGAAAAGCTAGTATTACATGCATTAATGCATACACATGTGTAGGTTCTGGGGTTAATTCATGCTTGGGCCGGTAATAATCACTTTTTCCAAGCTCGGACTGCAAATTCATTGGGCTCCAAATATTTTTCTAATTTTAGGCTATCAGTAAGCCCAATTATCACTAGTCAGGGCTAACTTATCAATACTCCTATTAGACTAGTCCCAACCTGGGCCTAGTTTACCATTTTATAAAGCCCTTTTAAAGCTATGTAGACCTTTGAATTCTGATGGTGAAGGAAACAAATTTGGGCCATATATATATATATATAATAACAATAAAAATAAAATAAAAGGGCCTACAAAATATATTTCAATCTATTGGTGCAATTGTAAAGTGGTAATGATGGACCCAAACCCATAGGCTCCAAGGTCATAGTCTTCATTAAGCATGGCGCTTTGCGATATTTACTATCAATGAAAGAGACCAAACCTAGGTTAATTAGATGTATATTGTTGCTTCAGGAATTTGACTTAGAGATCCGAGATAAGAAAGGATCTGAAAATGTGGTGACGGATCACCTCTCCTGAGTCCTTGTTGAGTATAATAGTGACCCTTTAACTTTGCGTGATTCATTTGTGGACAAACAACTTCTTGTGGTATCACGAGCGAGCCCCCCGTGGTTTGCACAAATTATGAATTACTTGGCCATTGGACAAATTCGTCAAAATTGATCTAAGCAAGACAAAGTCCGATTCTTTTCGCAAGTCAGGAATTATTTTTGGGAAGATCCAGAGTTGTTTAAATATTACTCCGACTAAGTGATCCGACGGTGTGTACCGGAGAGTGAAGTGTATAGCATTCTTACATTTTGTCATTCTTTTGCATGTGGCAGTCATTTTAGTAGACATAAAACGGCCGCCAAGGTTTTACAAAGTGGGTTTTATTGGCTCACAATTTTTAAAGATGCCCATCAATTTTGTAGAACTTGTTTGCGTTGTCAGCAAATGGGTGCGATATCTCGGCGTGACATGATGCCAATATCCCCTATTCTTGTGGTAAAGATCTTTGATGTTTGGGAGATTAATTTTATGGGACCTTTCCAGTCGTCATTCAAATTTGAGTATATTCTCTTGGCAATGGATTATGTGTCTAAGTGGGTGGAGGCGATAGCTACCCGAACAAACGATTATAAAGTAGTAATCAATTTTTTGCATGAAAACATCTTTAGTCGTTTTGGATTTCCTAGAGCCATACTAAGTGATCAGAGTACTCATTTTTGTAACCGGTTCTTTGAGTCAGTAGTTAAGAAATACTCTATCACTCAAAAAGTTGGCACTCCATGCCACTCTCAAACTAGTGGCCAAGTGGAAGTCTCAAATAGGGAGGTGAAGCACATAATAGAGAAAACGGTGAGGCTGGATAGGAAAAATTGGTCAAAATGTTTGATTGATGCATTATGATCCTACCGCACTGCTTATAAGACACCCATTGGGATGTCATCATATAGGGCAATGTTTGGCAAAGCTTGTCATCTCCTGGTTGAACTTGAGCACCGAGCATTGTAGGTCATAAAGAAGTTTAACTTCGATATAGCTGCGGCTGGGCTCAACCAGAACTTGCAACTCAATGAGTTGGAGGAAATTCAAAATGATGCATATGAGAGTTCAAGAATTTTTAAGGCTCAAACTAAGGAATTTAATGACAAGCACATTAATAGAAAATCCTTTGAACCCGCCCAAAAAGTGTGACTTTTTTACTCAAAATTGAGACTCTTTCCGGGTAAGCTTAGATCAGGATAGGATGGTCCTTTTATGGTTATAGAGACATTTATTCATGGTGCCATTGAGGTGCAAGATCCAAATAATGGCCACACTTTCAAAGTGAATGGCCAAAGACTGACGCCATATATAGAGGGGATTAGGAATGGGAATATGATTAAGTCCATTGCTTTGATGAACCCTTTTTACTATGATTGAGAGATTGATGTCTTGTTCTCTTTTCTTTCCTTTCTATTATATTCTGTTTTTCTTTATTCTTGATGTGTTTTATTTACATCTAGGAAACTTTAAATCCTCTAAAGGTGTAATTCTTTTGGTGTTTGCCGTGCCCGAACGGCATCTGACGGTCTGGTATAGCCACCTAACTATGTTTGTAGTGAGTTCCTAGGAGACCAAGTGGAAACTACAGTTCGAATAGCAAAACTTAGAACGCAAAGGTTTGGAATTTTCGAGATTAAAGTCTGGTTTGAATACCCAGGGGTGTAGAGATTGCTTCAAAACCACCCCGGCTTGAACTTCACAGCCATTCATGTAATTTGAAAACTAATCTCAAACATTCATTTACTAATATATAAAAAGATGAAGTTGTTTTATTATTATTATTATTATTATTAGTTAACCCTAACGGGTCGACCTGACGGTAAGGTCTTGGGTTTTGAGGTTGTGCTCTTTTTAAGGTTTAGGATCAAAACCTCTTAGGTGCTAACAATTCGTTAGAGCCATCGGATTTAAATTTTTTTTTAAATTAACCGTGATGTACTTGCAGGAAACTAATAACCGAGGGGTTTGTGCATCCTAGGAATTAATCGGGTTTGATCAAGACACTTTGATGCCAATAAAAAAAAAAAAGTTATTATTATTAGTTTTCATATTATTGTTGGATGGTGATTGTATAAATAAAATTTTGAACAAAAATTTAATTGGATAAAGGTTTTTCATATTTGGTTAATCGTGTCGTGTCATGCCATGGTGAATAGGTTTGGGAATTATTCGTGTCACACTAGTGCATGCATTATACGACATGTTTATTAAACAGGTCGATTTCGTGTTCGTTTTTTTGAAAAGCTAGTATTACATGCATTAATGCATACACATGTGTAGGTTCTGGGGTTAATTCATGCTTGGGCCGGTAATAATCACTTTTTCCAAGCTCGGACTGCAAATTCATTGGGCTCCAAATATTTTTCTAATTTTAGGCTATCAGTAAGCCCAATTATCACTAGTCAGGGCTAACTTATCAATACTCCTATTAGACTAGTCCCAACCTGGGCCTA